TTAATTATCATCATATTCCGCAGCAGATAGAACACACCTACCTCACATAAGGTGACGGTGACACACAATTAAAAATATGCAATCATAGATGTCTCGATGACACGACAAGCAGGAACGTCAACTTTCTGTTGCAATTATTGACCATGAACAGCATAATATCTGAGTTTGCGCAACAGCCCTTAGTTTTGAATTTACAAAACGCATCTTTTCTAAAAGCGGAGAGTTTCACACAGTATTCTTGTGTTCCAAAAAATGTGATATGTGCTTCCTTACTAAGTACTCTTCACTCCAAAATCTTCTGTATTCTTTAAAGATTCATGCTGAAAACGCTTCGACTTAGATTTTTATTGAATAGATTTTACACCTCTGGCAAAAACGTACAAATTTTCCTGCCGTGAACAACTTCAACGCAAACTTTACGGCATTCAATTCCATACTATATTCATCATCTGATTATCTAACAATCTATCTGATATGTTTCCGGCCTTCATAATTGGAAACGTTGAAACTAAGCCAGCTCTTCTAAATGGACCAATGAGATCTAAAGAAGATCTGGAGAATTGTGTTTAAAAATCAAATAAAATTTGATCACACATTCTCACCACCTTATAGTATTTCCAACTCCATTCTTGAGTAGCATACGCCTACGATCAGTAAAAATCGCCTTAATGATAGTGCAGAGAGTGTAGCCTACGGAAGCTGTCCAAAGAAAATGACATAGGAAAATATGCACATTACCATGTTAGATCGCTTAAATATTACAACGACAGAACTGACGTGACGTCTGGAAATGCTTGGTGAACAAAAAAGCTAGAAGGTGTGATTCCAGGGCTGAATGAGAACTGAACGGAGAGATAGCCACTAACGGAGTAAAACGCAGATCTTTTCCTTCGACTTTTTCATGTAAGTTTCATGAAGGACAAGCACGAGAACAAAAACTTTTGCCACGTCTTCTAACGTCACATAGCCGCTGTGACTCATTCTAAACTTCAACTTTCGATTTACCAGTGTACTCCAACAAGATTAATTTGTACAGTTTATAGTCCATGTTATACATGGTAGAGCAATGACGCATACAAAGATCCTCTAAAATGAAATACCGGTCAACATCATATATGTAATTTGGCAAGCAGGAAATAGTAATAAAAGAATTAATCTTCACGATATCTGTCATCATAACTATCATCATCCTCGTTACTGGGAGCAGAAAATTCGCCACGAATGTTATCGTCGTCATCGGAAATATCTTCTTCTCCTTCGTACGCTTCCATAGCAAATCCTTCCAGGCGACGTCGCATTCTTTCAAGAGCAAAAGGTGATTCTTCATTGTCTTCTTGAAGGGAAAGGCTGTAAGCCTAAAATGATAAGCATGGATTTGATTGAAAAAAGGGGAGGTGAGGAAGCCATATACGAATTGAAAAAAGTTACAAATCTCCGTTAAAACGCTTCAACAGCTACTGCTATCAAATAACTCATAAGATAGAGAATGACCGCAAAATACTCAAAAGATAGATAAAAATTTGTGAGAAGAAGAAAATTGAAAGTTAAGGCAAAGATTCACAAATGAAATAAACATACCCTGTCATCATCATCATAGTAATCAACATCCTCATCCTCAGTATCATCATCATCGTCATCTTCCTCATCCGGATAGTCATTTCGCCAGTTATTCTCATCGTTCGAGTCATCATCATCATCTGCAGCACATTCGCTTTCAGAATCTGAGTTTCCGAGCAGGAGCGTTTGCTCCTCTCTAAATAACAAAGAAAAACAGTGATGCAAGCACGATTATCATCAAAAGAAGCTCACTCTGTAGCAAATCTTAGTTCAATATCGGCATCCCATTCCCGTATTGGTTCTGTCATTGATCCCCGATATATTTTGTAATAATCATAGCCAACAGGCTCCTCAGCATTCTCTTGATCCACCTGAATAAAGTGCCGTAACTACGATACCAATTTTGGCAAAAATACTTTGATTCTCAAATGATATGTAGTCCGTCCTAAACCAAAACTGCAGTTACGATTGCTAGTTGTTGGTATGTGGTATCATTAGCAAGATAGGCACGCTAACGACTTTAACAATTTGTGCTTGTTAGCTGAAGTGCTTTATGTTCGAACTAGCATGATTGCATGGCACTTCTTACTGTAGAGCTTCCATGATATTGTAGTCATAACGAACATTTAATGCAGTTTTCCCCATATTTATTAAGGAGTGTAGAAGCGCATGGCACATTGAAAAGAGGCAACCGTTACATCAGAAAGAGGCGCAGTCAACGAATGAGGTACTTGCATCCCCATACCGTAGGAATAGCGGCCGCATCTCATGCCAGGAGGATATCCCTCTCATAACAGCCGCGGGAATCACCAACTTGAGGACGTATTTTTGGGACATGAACACGCTAGACCACCTCTCGAGATCAACTCTCACGCTCAGCTCGGGATTTGAGCCCATATAACACGTTGATTTTATATGCCTTTTTCCTTCTACTTAACTCCTCCTTTTTCTGTCCTGTTTTCATGGCCGCATTATGTGATATGCGTGAGGCATACATAGTCAAAATGATTGAAACATTAACTATAACCACACTTCTTTATCACCTCAGCATCATCCAGTTCTTTTTTTCCGTCACACTACATCTTCCCTAGCTTATCGGAAAATTGACAATACGACTTTTACTTCACTACCTCCAAAGTAAGGCAATCCGTGCGTCACCTGTGCATCGAAGAATTTAAAATGACGCTCTGTCCACTTCTACAACGAGAAGAAGCAAAGATTAAGATTTAAAAAAAAAACGCGACAACTTTCCTTGC